GCCCCGTCTCGGAGTCCGTTCACGCACAATGCCGTCTGTCGTTATTGCCCTGCCACGAATGTATTAATAAAATTTATTGGTCGGCCTCCTGAGCCGTGCAGCAAACGTTAATGGATTTCGAGCCACCGGTGGCCTCGCCGACGGCAGCAAACGACAGCAACGACAGCAAATGAGCCACTCGAGATGGCTCCGGATGGTAACTCCTTCCACGCTTTAACGCGTTAAAACTTGACGGGAATGATATTACGGTACGGAACGTCGTACGCGGCGAGCGTCGACCACCTTGCGCGTTTCTCTAAGAACAACTTCGGAAAGTCAATCGTGATGCACGAAACGATACGAGCACTTCGCGCTTGGGGAAATTTTGATGACTCTACTATCTTTTATTTAAGGTTTTACCTGACGTGTTCGAAAAAATTAGATTACTTTGAAATATTACATTCCTTGGCTATATTCAGTGTTACACATAAAACTGTAAGCATTTTTGAACTATTGTGCATTCGAATGAAATCTTTAAGATATGTAGAAAAAATATATATATTATTGTGTTAGACATATCGATTTTTTTCTGTAAGAAAAAAAATATTTTCTATCTCCAACGCGTGAGTAACAACGATAAAAGAAATCTGCGTATGAAAATAATTTCCGAATACGTTTCGCGGAGATTCCCGAGGTGAACGGCGAACCGCGCGAATAGCAAAAACATCGATCGTCTTGCGAGACACGGTCGTTAAAGGTTCGACTCTCGTACAAATAACTTACATGACGCGAGTTATTCGTGAGCGGGGGTAAGGGGAGGGAGGGTGGAAGGGGAGAACACAGGCGGTCGCGGGGCCGAGTGAGAAGAAGAAGAGGAAAAACAAGAAGTCGACGAACGCCAGTACGTCAGTTTATCTTGTGGCATACGTCGACTATTAATCAACAGACCCTCCTAATCGCTTGACGAACCAATCGATAAATCAATAACTTTCATCCACCGTGCGGACGTTGAATAACCCGACGCTATGCGCCGCGTGTCTAGGAGCTAAAAAGCTGCCCCATCGATATTTCGTTCCGATGACTCGCCTCAGATGAGATCTAATCTCCATTTCGAGTTCAAAATTGTTCTTTTGTTGTTGCATTTCCAGCGTAGGACCGAGTACGTTTCGACACGAGCTCCCCTCGTAGCAAATTTTCTCTTTTTATTTTTCGAAAAAAAAAAAAAAAGAAAAAAGAAATAAGTAGTTGTACTCAGCATATTCGAGCGTATCCACCTGCTGGAGAAAAAGAGCGAGCGGGACACGAAGCTTCGGAAGGGCCAGCGACGGGCTCGTTATCCTTATTGGAGGCGGGAGCGGAGGGTAACGGAAGAAACACAAGAGGAGAGATAATCCGGCTATTAGAGGTGTCCCCAGGAGATTCCGGGGGTCATAGCGTCCCGATAGAACGGGTCGGGGGTCGCCGATGGACCCGCGAGCCGAGGTCACTCGAGGATACCGTTGGGTTTGTCACGATGGCAGCTTCCAATTTGTCGTAACAGGCGACCGACACGTTTTTTTTTTCGAACTCCTTATCCTAAGACCCTACCTACTGTCGCATCTCCTTCCGAGCATCGTGCAGTTCGGGGTCTCCCTAACTGGGCAAACTGAATCACATTGATTGACCGTCTGCTGGGCGAAAAACCGTCGCGAAGAGCATTTCTCCTGAGAATGCGCTTTTTGTCTGTCGCAAACAGAAAACTGGTGCGGGCCCTAATGGAAGAGATTCTTCGAACGAAAATTGTCCGGACACCTTCGGTATGCACCTTGTACCACTTATCGCGTCGAATTGTGTCGTTTTATTTAACGTGTCCGAGTTGCGAAAGCGAATAATACTACAAATGCACCTCGTTACGTGGTTAAAACCGAGAAATGACGCAATAACGAGAGAATTGTTTAAAGACCGGAGGTGAGAAACGCTCGTAACACGAAACATGCAGCGTGACAGAGCCGATAAAGGCGGATGCTCTAACGACATCGTAAGTTTCGCAACAGAGCGAGGCCGGGCGCGTTAGGTGGGTAGGTGGGTGATGGGCGAATACCGGCGAAGTTTTGCAAGTCGATCATCGCGCTTCACTCCTCCTCGGGCGCTTATCGATTCGCGGGATCTTGAATAAATTAATTATCCGACAGGTTAATCGAGTTAGCCGGCCAATCATAACTCGGTGCTTTATTAACCGCTTCCCGTTCGCAGTCTGCCCGGATTAAAAGGCCCACGCTAACCCGCGGCGAGACGAGGTATCGCGCGGCTCGCAGTCGCCCATCCAGTCGGCATCAAATAATGAAGTAATTTCGTCATGCCCCGACGATCGCCGATACAACACGCGATTGTCGATCATCGCCCAACAGATGCGACTCACTATCGAGTCATGTAATCACATTGTTACGGCGTATAAAATTGACGTCGTTGCTCGACGATCCTTCGAGCGACCTTAGCGATGCCTCGCTGGGAAAGATTCGAGAAGAAGGTAAATACTCAGACGAGGTTCTTCACTAAGAAGTATATTTCTGGATTTCGAAGAAACGCGATAGAGATCGGGAATTTCGGACTGATTTCAATCACGACGTATCCAATAAGGCACATCGAACTTTCTTCTTTCCCGAAGTCGTGACTGCGGGATTTTTCGCGGCCGGACGCGGGAACGCAGGGGAGGGTAACGCGATGAGAGGGGAGGGGAATGGGATGCGGGGGTAGAGAACGAACGGAGGGAGAGGGAGGGGAAAAAAAAGGTATCGCAAAGAGAAAAACGGCAGCACGTACACCCCGGTGAGTTCGATTCCACGAGTTTAGTTGCAGGACGGGACAGGGCTGCCGCGCGGTCACCGGTGATTAATGATCCAGCCAATCAGATATAGTCGCTCGGTGAGGTGGAACCGAGACGCAACGCGATCGAACGGAGACGGAACGCGGCGAGCGGGGGAGCGGAGGGGTGGCAAGGGGGTTACGCGCGCGAGGGGGGACGAGGGGAAAGGCGGAGATATAGGCAGCGCCCCGTGGAAAGAGAGACGGCCGGTGTAACGAAAGGGGGAGCGAGATGGAGAGCGGGAAAGAGAGCGGACGCTGCACAGGCCGAGCGCACCGCGGTTGATATGTTGCGCTGTCACTGCTCTGTACCTGCGCCGGTGGGATGTTGCCGTTGCCTGGATTGTAATATTGTATTGTACTGTTTGTTGCCCCGGTGTTCCACCGGCCGTCTGCGCGGTCGACAGGCTGTCCAAATAGCCGCCACCGGCTTCGACGTAGGAACGTCGGACAAACGGATGGACTAGCGCGCTTGCCGCCGGTATGCAATCCGGCCGCGTTCCACGTTCACCGGTGTTACACCCGCTGCGGGGGATCGTCATCCTCTTACACGCTAAATATGTTGCATGTTTCAGCGGTGAGCAGCGATGCCTCGACATCGATGCTCTCGGCCGTCGCGGGATGAAAATACTTTCGCTTTCGTCGCTTCAAACAGCTATAGAACGAACGGAGACGTCAGCGGCCATTTGAATGACTAAGTCCTTCCTCGCAAACTCGAATTCTTATCTATGGAAAAAGCAGATATTTTGTGCTTTCTCTAAAAACTTTGATTTTTTTATTTTATCAATAGTGAACAACGTGGCAACGTGAAAACGCGCGGTAACACTCGGGACTGGATTTACCGCGTGTCTCGTCTTAGTGACTTAGTCAATGGCATCCCGTAGAAATTAGCAAATGCTTGGCTGGCCGTTAGCTCGGATGGGTAAGCGATATTAAATGGGATCCCTGTTACGTCGCGCGCGCGTCTCTCTCTTTCTGCTTGCCCGTTCCTTCCTCCGCTGTCTTCGTTTCCAACGTCTCTCGCAGCGACGTTGCGGTCAGCAGCAACCAACGCCTGGCCTCAGCATCAGCTTCAACAGCGTATAATCTCGGTGGTTATTAATGGCGATGCTTTGGGAAACTGCTACCGGGCAGCCCGCTCATTCCCCCCTCATCGTCCTGCGATCACGAGCGCTATCTCTTCCCCGCCTGCGGTCCAAATATCTTCTTCTTCCTCTCTATCTTTTCTCTCTTCCTCTCTCTCTCTCTTCAGCACACGCATTCACTTTGCTCCTCTTCCACCTGGTTCATTCTCTTCTCCCCCGCTACCTCATTCCGCTACGAAACTGCATTCCAAGCGTCGTTAAACCTCGCCCCGCGCCTACCGAAAGTTCGCGAGAGACGCGAGCCTAAGCGCGAGTCGCTTTAATTGCCTGTCTATGCCTGACGATGCCTTCTCGGCGCGCGCGATCCCGTCCGAACGTCCTCGAGAGAGGTATCGCTTCTTTAGGAAGCGGATCCGACGTCGACTAATTATCGACTCCCATTCGCTTGCTCCAGACTGCCCTGAAAAGCACAACGTCCCTATCGTGGAAACACCCTTTACGGACGAGTACGTTCCCGCGCGTACATGCGCTCGCTTTGTAGCTTAGCGAGAAATATTTTTCGTGCGTCTCGTATACAATAAAACGAACGAATTAATTGGCGATAAATAAAACCAAGGAAGGAAGAATACTAGCAAATAATGGACCGCTGAGAAATATTCATGCAGCACGTACTTGACACTTTAATATTTTTATGAAACGTTTTGAGTCATATCCACACATCCACACATACACACATATACACGCGTGCGCACACACACACTCACACACGCAAGCACTAAGTTATTCCTAAGTGGATTTGCTTAAAATGATGCTTTACAGTTACACAATGGATGTTAACTGCTACTTCTAAAAGAAGTAGAAAATTATTCTTTCTCACATTGCTTTTTGTGGAGAACAATCTCTGACTTATAAAGTTAAATGTATTTAGTTTTCAAATTCATATTTGTCATTTTTTACATTTTAAATTTTATGTGAATTTCGGTGATACATACACAAATTGCATACATTCTAATCTTTAATATTTTTCGGAGAAAATCGGATTAATATAAGAAAGTTATTATTACATTTGAATAATTCAAATTTTTTCTCAGTATCAGTCTCGTATCTATTTCTGTATTTTGCTATTATAGCCACGAATATATTGCTTAACGTGATAGTAACAGAAATCCCGCACAGGCTCGATTCATAGGTTTCCGATCCAAAACGAAATCCACGAGTCGCTCGTAAATCGACATCGGTGAGGAAGAGAGAGAAAGAGAGAGCAAACCGACGAGTCAACTTGGACGATATAAAAGAGCACGGGAAGTTCATTTAACAGGCCATAAAAAGGAGTGAGGAAAAGGGAGCAAAGATGCTCTCTCTCGAAATCGGCCCCTTTGCCGCCGGCATCAGCCAGTTTCGTCCAAGAGGGTGCCAGAGGATTTGGAATTGGGTGCTAGCTGGTCGGAGTATGTTAGGGCCATGGGCTATCGGTGATCAACCTCGGGGGTTGAATCCAAAGGCTTATCTGGCCGAGAGGAAGGCTTACCAGGGTAAACGTCGGGAGGGCGAGCCGCGAGAATCGCTCGTGCCTTAGGTTCTTTCGCGGGATCGACCGCAGGATCGTTCGATCTTAATCTGCCCAGGACCTACGCCCATCTCCGTGGTGTTCTCTAAAAGGTGGAGGTCGACCGGTATTAACTGTTCCCGAGTATGGACCGCAATTCACGCGGTGAGTTGGCAAAGATGGGCCTCTGATTGAGTCCTCAAGAAATAACGATTTAAGGGCAGATAGGGAGCAAACCTAGTTACTCTGCAGTATTATGTATAGGAAAATTCTTCGTTACGCAATAATCGGTAAATCTCTCATTAAAATTAGTGTAATAAATAATTATCTCTTGTTGCGATATTTATACGGAGAAGATATAAAACAGGAATAAAAGTTTTTCATTAAAATATATAAATATATGTGAAACCATGTATGACATAATATGGTAATATGATAGCGCAATATAGTTTCGATATGCGTTTATCTTCGCAACATAAATCGCGAAGTCGGCCGCGTAACAGAAGTTTCTCCTAGAAGTTATTGTGGAGTCGCGTTTGCACGCGTTAGATGAGCATTCGGAAACCGAGAGACGATTTTTGCGACGTGCGTGATCTATAGAGTTGTAGCACACGGCGAGACTCGCGGCTCTAACGCTTTCCTCCACGCACAAGAAAAGATACGCACGTTGCACGCCGAATGGCTTACCGCTAAGCATTGTCGGTGGTCATGCGCGACTCATAAACGCGCCACCGCCGAGGTTTCTAATATCACGAACCACGAGTAGCTTTCTCCCTCTTGCTGATGTACAGTAGATCGAATACATCAACAGCAGTATTTGCGCTTCATAGTTCGGCCATTACCCATAACGAATATAAAAAACATTTTTAGCAATTGTTTGTTTCAATTAATTATTTTTTAAATATATTTTAATCATTTATATTTTTATATATCTTATTTAGTAGATGCAGAATACATATAATTCGATAATCGAGTCAAATTTTGACCAAATTCTCAACTTGACTGGCATAACTGATAAGAAAAAAATTCTCTATTGTCTATATAATTCTTGCATAGAAAAATGTGACGCAATAATCGCACACTTATATATTTTTTTACATTTTATATAGTTCTGAACATGGATGATAAAAAATTGTTTTCGCAATGCATGTTATTTCACGTTATCACACCTCCGAGTGTAATACTCCTAAAATAGCTCCTACGTCTTCCGCATTGGGCTATTTCGCGGCTCGGCGCCGCTTTTGTGCTCCTTGTGAGGATCGTAAAAAGGAGCGCGCGAGCGCATCGATGAAAGCGCACCTCGGCTTCGAAAGTGGCATTCCGCGTTACGCTCGTAGGTCACGAGGCATTCGCACGTTGTTTCTCGCCCAGGTGCATCCACGGTCCGCCGTCCAAATGGACGGGGAATGCCCGCGTTTTGACTCGCGGCACCGATCATTTTCTGGTCCGTACACGCGCTGATTGACCGGCGCCGATTTTCCGGCCCGCCAGCCACGGGGATCGTCATCGATCGGGAAGATGCCACGCTGGCGGATCGCGGCGGCTTCTCGCGCGCGACTTCTTTTTCGCCACCCTTCGCTGACGATGATTTCGCGAGGGTGATTTTACGGCGAGATGTATAACAACAATCTTGGGAGCGTCGAAAGATCGACAGTCCCATGCGGTCCTAAGCGCGAAATGCGGAAGAATTCTCAGAGTTTACAATTTATAGTAATTTTGCGAGCGGAAAATCGGAGCACGAGTAAGAGCACAAATCATCCTACGATTCTTAATAATTTTAGTTTACCCATAACACATCTGTATATTTTAAATAAACGCTATAAATAAAATGCGCATCGAGTGTTGGATATTCAATAACTGTCGCTAAATTATTGCCGATCTGACGAATTAAAATAAGCGAACATTTAATCATTAATATCGTGCAATTTTTGGCAGCGTTCACGTCTGCGCAGAATCAATCCCGCGATAACGAAGAGCTCGACACGGCAAAAGTGGTGGATGTCGACGTCAAACATGTTGGTAGAACGCCGGCGACAGTATTTTTGCGAAAAAAAAAACGACAGCGCGGTGATCCAGGTGCGACGGTGTTTGCGTTAGCAAACCGTTTCCCGGACGGACGGACAGGCTTCGTTGTGGCCGGGCGACACTGATTGCCAATCAATATGCCCATCTCGCTGGAGTCTAATTCGGCAACAATGTTGATCAATCAGTGCGCACACGGGCTGGCCGGCCGGCCGGCCAGCCGGGAAACTCCCGTTCCATTTCGCGTTCCGCTCGCAATCGCGCATCCACAACGATGGACGGACGAACGAACGAACGAACGAACGAACGAACGAACGAACGAACGAACAACGAATGGTTCTGCGGCGGCAGACAGTGGGGAGAGGGAGGAAACGCGCTGCCTCCACCACTCTCTCACTCTGATCATTTCCGTTTCCGGTCGTACACCGTACAAGCACCTAGCACTCCGATTTCTCGCCATCCGGAGTCCGAGTTGCCATCGCGCGAAATTCGTGCAGGAGAATCACGCGATTGCAGAAAGGTGAAATGTCACACAGATTCTTCGAGGCCTCGACATTTTATATTCTCTTTCGTCATTTGCATACATTTCTACTGCCGAATATATTAATTTGATACATGACAAGCTCAAGCGTGTTTGCGTTAGGTAGATATATCGACGCAGCTGACATTCGCGGCCTTTCGTGGATCGCGAGCGTCGAAAGTCTCCCGAAGGAGGCCGGAACGAGGTAACGAGAGTATGTCGCCCTTTAAACACGCGTCGTTGGCGAACATACAAATAAGCCCGTTATGCAGTTAATTCGTTATTCTCGCGGCGCGGCGACAAGGTAAGGAATCAAGGGTCGATTCAAAAGCAATCGTTACAACGAATGCCGGCGTATGTTGATGCACGTTTGTTCCCCTGACAATGCACATGTCGGGCGGGATGCAACAAAACATATTGATACGCGTGGGGCCGTATTCGCACTCGATACAGTCGCGTCGCTGATTGCATCTCTGTTTGTGCGTTCGCACGTTTCCAACGAGCGAGCGGCGGCTACTCCGTCACGCCGCGCCGATGCGAAAACGAAAATTCTAAACGATCACGTACACGCCGGGATCGTTGACAGTCAGTAATACTTCTCGCGTCGTGCTGTCGAATCGATTAAGTCGCCGAGAGAGAATCGTTCAGTTAACGTGCCTCGAATCGCCGACCAAGTCGGACGAGGGACAAGACGTTCGCCGCTATCTGTTCGCACGCATGTCGAAGCCCGCGCTTTTGTAATACTCTGTCCGACTCTGTCAATTATCGGGAAACGCCGTAATTAGCCGGTACACTTATATCTCTTTATTCGACGTGACACCTTAATTGCGACACGACACGCGGCCTCGGCAAGGGCTCTCTATAAGATACCGCGATAAAATCTCTCAACTTCCATCTCGATATTAAATTGCACCGCGAGAGAGGAACGATTAATTAATTTCCAATTTTAATTAATTGGCCTTCCGAGCGGGAAGCTGCCGACTGACTCGCTCGGATATGCCGGCCGATCCTGATCCTCGCGGCACGTCAGGATCGATCGGTCGAAAGAAAACGGCCGCTGGACATAGACAAATGCTACCCTTCCGCCGTCGTTACCGCGAAGGGTCAGCGGGCTAACCCGATGTAGCGGGCGCGTATCCGCGGACCGGTCGTGGAGAGAAGATGTATGCCGACCGGAAGGCGGCCGTACCCGGAAACCATTACTGCCCCTCTAATTTCTTTACGATCACGATGCCATTGGTCACGCTCCCACTACGCCGTGGTTTACGGCCCAATCTCACGGTTGGGCCGCGGGAGGTTTGTCGTAGCACTTTTTTTCCCTTACACCCGCAAATTGAGGGTTTCCCTCCGAATACCTCGATCCTTGTAAAAAAAAAAATCGCCGCTCGACTTATCATCGTGATGCCGGTCATTTTTCTTTCTCGTTTTCTTTCGAAAAATCTCCAGCGATCACCGTAATCAACATTTTTGCGCTAAATCTTATTGGTTGCAATGTCAATCTATAGATTCATTGCGGATTATAAAAAAAAAGACGTTCAAGGACAACAACAGCGTCACAGTAGAAGATAACGCGACGATTCGACGGAAGTCGCGATCGAGAAAAGGACCTGCGCCGATGAGGGAAAGAGGATTGATAAAGGCAGACATATGCGGGAGAACGATAGAAAAGAAGGAGGAAAGAGAAAGGGAGATGCGGCGAGAGACAACGAACTGGCATGGTGGTAGCTGATGCGATTCGTCGGTAGTGCTGGCAGATAGCACCGAGTAGCTCGGGGCACAATGAGCCTATCAGATTATATTTCTATTTTCGACACGCGGCCTATCGCGCAATCCCATCTCTTCGAGGCGGCTACCGCGACGCTGTGCGCCATATACGCGTGATACATGTCGATATATACTACACGTACGAACGCATACGCTGCAGATCCGCTGCGAAACACGAACAGCGTGTGTACGCCGCGCCGCCGCCGCGTCGAGCCGCACGGCACGGCACGGCAGGCACGCCACACCAGGCCCACGCCACGCCACGCCGCGCCGCGCCGCTTCGCAGGGCCCATCTTACGTTGCCCGCGGGGCCTCGCGCTGACGCTGATGCTGACTCCGACGCTGCCACTGCTGCCGCTCGCAGCTTGCCTCTATCGTGAGCGTACGCACGTGCGTGTACGCGTACACCGTCGTCGTGAGGACGGCTACGAAACTTTGAGCGATGCGTACGCTGCTCTCAATATATGTACCTGTGTCGACTTGCGCGATTAATGGCCAGTGGAATGTTAAAAGTTACATCGACCGGCTTATAGTTATCGTTATGAAAGATTTAAAGAAGTATGTTGGGAATGTCCCTTCAAATCCCGAACTATTTCACCGCGAGTCAGAGCGCGTTGGCGCGATCGTTATCTAACACGTAGTCAGGTCCATTATCGATCATTCGTCTCATTCCAGGTGTTCGCGCCAACAAGTCTCGAGTCAAGTCAAATAGAGGAACGCGCGCGGGAGCTCGACGGCTAATGAATATAAGCGCAAACGCCGTTCTCGATAGTTAATAACGGTAGGCACGGAGGGGGACAAGAGTGCGTCCGACAAAAGTAGTAATCACGGATGACGCCCCGGTCGTTCGTTCGTTCAGACGAAACCTAGCCGCGAGCTTCGCAGCCACGCGAGATGCTCTCTGCTTGGTATGCGGCCGGTCCTGAAGCATCCTCCGATTCGAAGGAGGGCGCTGGTCGTGCCGTTCGTCGGCTCGGGCCTTGGTGATAGCTCCCGGCTATATACTACTACGGGGCCGCGCAACTTAACCCGGGTCCTCCGCGGGCGGGGATGAGCCGCGGGAGGGTCCGCGATACCACCGGCAGGGCCCT